AACCAAATTTGCCCGCCTTATTAAAGAGGAAAAACTAAATTGAAAAGAACCCCTGCTTCTTTAATGTTAGGTAATGTTTCAGTCATTTACCAGATAGACGGGGACTTTATTGGCCCGATAAAGTAAATATATTCGCATCAGTTGTACTTTAGATAGGTTAATAAATTGCGTACCACTCTCGATTTTCCCAGTCTTTTATTGGTAGTAAAGTAAGGCACTGTTGTTTTGCCAGAGTAATAAAAGGGCATTTTTCAAACTTGAGGGAATTGGAAGTTCAAGATCTGCCAGCATTAAATGTTTTTAGAGAGGCTTTGCCTATCTACTTATATTCATTTATTATGGTTGTTTGGGGAATGGAAAAATGTAGTCTTCTTGAAACGTGCTTACACATAACAGAGAATTAAAATTTTATGTTTATTTCGACTTTTAGACCGTAAATTATTTAACTTTCAATATCTGCGTTTTTATACCCCGACAAGCAAGAATATGAGAACATTTACTTTCTAATGCATGCTGTGTCCCTCAGATTAACAGAACGTACAGGGTTATTGATTGAAATTTGGCCACCCCGTATTCACATCTAATTTGAAATTTAGGGAAAAACATTAAATACAAACGTTGTAGATAATAAAGTCTAGTTTATTTAAAGATAGTACCAATTGATACAGGGTGTCTCAAATTGAAGTCGAACACTAAACTTACATTTTTTATAGAATGCCTCACATTTTAGTGCATAGTCGAAATATACGCAAAATTCTAGAAGAAGAGAAACTGAGAAAAAACCGTACAACTTGAAGTGCAGTTAAACAAAAATTGGTAACCCGTCACTTACATCAACAAACTGAAATTTGCGCACCATAAAGAAAAAGACTTCGCCGAAACTTGGACCAATTTTTTTTAAATCCCCACTTCTGCTGATTGTTTTAAAAAATTTAAACTTGAGAAACTAAAAAAAACCGTACAACTTGAAGTGTAGTTTGAGAAAAATTCGTTACTCCCCAACCACTTACCACAACAATCTGAAATTTTTTTACTGTAAATAAAACGGTTTTGTCGAAACGTAAATCGAATGTCACTAACATTCCAACTTCTGCTGATTTTTCAACTTGGCGTAAAATTAAAAAACCCGTACAACTTGAAGTGCAGTTAAACAAAAATTTGTAACTTCTAAACCACTTTCATCAGGAAACTGAAATTATTTTCACACCATGAAGAACAAGGCTTTGTCGGAAAGTGGATCAAATTTCACTAAAATGTCCACATTTGCTGATTTTTCAAAAATTTTAAACTTGACCAGAAATTAAAAATTACCGTACTACTTGAAGTGTAGTCAGACAAAAATTCGTGACTCCCAAACCACTTACATCAACAACCTGAAATTTTCGCGCAGAAAAAGGTTTTGCCGAAAAGTGGACCGACACGTCACTAAAATCTCAACTTCTGCTGATTTTCCAGAAATTTTTAAACTTGACGAAAAATAAACAAAGCGTCCAACACTTGGTCAAAATTGGTAACTTTGGTAGTTACCAATTTACCACTTACATCAACAAAACTTTCTCGCATCATGAAGGAAACGGTTTTATCGAAAAGCAAAGCAAATTTCACTAAAATCCCCACATCTGCTGATTTTTCTAAAATTTTTAATCTCGTCGAGAAATAAAAAAACCCATACAACTTGAAGTGTAGTTAAACAAAAATTTCTAACTCCCAAACCACTTACATCAACAAACTGACATTTTCGCACCATAAAGAAAAACGTTTTATTGAAAAACTGCATTCTGTCAAAAATTCAACTGATTTTGCAGAAATTTTTAAACTTGACGAAAATTTAAAAAAATACGCCCAACATCTAGTGAAATTCGCACATCAAAATTGGCCACACTTCGATCAATATTGGTTATTAATTCAAAACCAGTTGAAGACCCATATAGAAGATTCATATCTAGTAGGTCTAAAATTTTGGGCATAATTCGAATATACAATAAAAAAAGGCGTCATTTCATTTAATATAATGTAAGTTTGGTCCGCCATTTAAATTTGAGACACTCTGTATCAATTGGTATTATTATAAAATAAACTAGACGTTATTAACTAACAATTTTTTTCTCTAAATTTCAGATCCCCAATCAATAACCCTGTTATATTTACATTAACTACATTTACATTAAAAAGTTACATTAAAAATAACATCTGTTATACGTTGCCGTTTTGTGAATTTAAATTTTTAGTTTACTCTTCACATGCAGTGCTAATGGATTAACAGTTCCCAGCTTAAAAACGATGAACATTTTGCTCGATTAATTAAAAAATAATTACCCTACTGACGCTAAAAATTGCAAAAAACGAGAAAAAAAATTGAATTAACTTTAAAACTGCTACACAGCTACTCGCCTGAATATGAAGCTGAACAACCGGAGTATTTCCAAATTTGGCGGTAATTGAAACTGATGATTTTTGCGGGCTTTTGACCCGTGATGAAGAAAAAATGGCGCATCAACCAGATCTGTAATAATTTGTAAATAATAATTTTTTTCCATGATTTTGATATGAGGCAAATTGTAGAATAATAGAACGATATAATAATAATAAATAAAATTTACTTAAGTACTCAATTCTGGAGCTTTAGTAGCTAATACGGTTTAATCGTATTTTTTCAGGCACAAAGGCTTTCTCAAGGACTGCCCCAATGGACTTCTCACAGAACAGGTGAGAAAACATTGAAATCTAAAGTGAATTTATATCAGCAGACTTGGTTCGTTTGTCTTTTTTAATTAGGGATTTTGTCTAGTGACTGATGGCTTAAATAATGCTTAATGTTTTTCAGGGATTTATCAAAATATACAAACAGTTCTTTCCGCAAGGCGACCCATCAAAATTCGCCTCGTTAGTGTTCCGAGTGTTCGATGAAAATAATGTAAGTATGTTTTTAGAAGTTATTCAACCTTAATTAACAGCAAATAAATGTAGGACCTATGACTGTATAACTAGGACAAAGTCGACGGCAATTTATTAAATTTTTGTCTTGATTTATTACTCCGAATGTTCTCACATCAGACTTTTCGCGGAAAGAAAAGTCGGAAGTCTTGAGGTATTATTAAATTTTGTTAAAGGGAATCGGTTTTATTTATGAGTGTAATTCTTCTCAACAACATTATATTTCATACGGAATTATTTGACAGACCATTATGAAAAGCTCTCGATGGCTTTGCTAAGCGAGTTGCCGTTATTTCGCGTCAGAAACAAAGAATTTAATTTTGTTTGCTCGAAAGTTCATGAACTGTTTCAAATTTGATTGATTTGAGAAGAATCTATTAAACTTTAAGAAAAATATTTATATGCAACGCTTTGGATTAGAAATACATTTTTATACATATTACTGCATCAGTTAGCTACATGAATATACAAATCAAATTTGAAATTTCCGTTTTAAAATTTACTTTTTTGCAGGAAAGGAAATTAATTTTTAAATTGTGTTTCCCTAGTTTAAATGTAGACTTTTTGATCTGTTTTACGTGTGAAATTTATAGCGGTCTGTAACATTAAATTTCTCACAGCAGGCACAAAAGCCATTTAATGCGATTGGGATGCTCGACTCTTTAATGAGTAAAAGGAGATCTAACACACCGATTAACCAATCATGTGCTCAAATTTACTACAGTTTGTACGTAATAATCGTAAAGCTTTTAGAATTTTCTATAAATTCAAGAATTTAATGAGAAATAAACAGTAAAACAGAAGCAAACCGAAATAAATTGTAGAGAACTATATTGTTGGAATAATCTTGGCCGCTGGTAATAGAAAAGTAATTTTTTTCCGGATAATTCAACTTTTCCCAGTAAAGTAAGTAAAGTAAAGAAAAAAGTAAGTTCACTTACTTTTCATTTTTATTCTTTTAGTCGGCAAAAAAATTAAGATTAATTTGGGCTCCCTGCATTGAATTGAAGCTTATGACACTTATTTATTCTTCCTTAGCCACCTTACAAATTGTAGCAACTATTTGAAATTTTTAAATAAAATAAATTAACATTTGAAAACGGTTGATTTCACAGCTTAAAGTGTAAATGCTAATTTGTAATTTAGTAAATTGTCCATCTAATGACGTATTAATATACAGGTACTTCCATTTGAAAAACAAAAGTTATATTGCTTTAAAAAGTTTTAGATTTAAGTCCACATTGTTAGTACCCTGTACAATGTATTGATATTTTGCTTCAATAGAATTATTAACGGATCTGTGGTGATTGGAAAGACGTATTTTTTTGTATCTCTAACTGTTTTTTTTTGCTTCTACGATGATTTTTTAGATACCATGTTTTTAAGCAAAATTTTACTAAAATGGCGATAGTTTGCCAACGTCGTAAGTAATAAAAAACCAATTTACGGTGCATATGCATAAAGCTGCATTACATGAGCTAATGAAAAATGGGTAGTTCTATTTAAAAATACACTTTGTTCTTGCCTCGCTTTTCTGAGACACTCTGTATCATATAGGATATTTTTAAAATGTGCGCACTTTGTGCGTCAACAACTTTTATATGACACTATTTTTCAAAAGTTCAACACCATCGGAAGTAATGGACTTTATCGCACTAAAAAACCACCCTGTACCTTCCCATTGTACTCAAATGATTACAGTGCAATTTTTTACTTTTTTTTATAGAAATAATGTAAATGTGTGTCTTCTGATATTATAAATAACTAAAATACATACCTGAGATGCTAATTTGCCACCCCAAATGGAATATTTTAAGAATTACGTTACAAAAACTTACTCTTAAAAACACGAGGTTTGTCACAACTTGTTTATGCAACTTAACAAATTGTTATTTGCGTCAAATGCGCTGTTTTCAAGAAAAACTTGAAATTACGAACTTCTTGTATATTACAGAATGTCACCAAAATATTAGTTCGTCGAAAAATGTCAATAGATGTGGCTAAGAGAGAATAATTCTCGGTGTACTCAAATAGTACCAAAAGTGTACAAAGTGTACAGTGGGAGGTAATGGATTAAGCCGGAAAACATCTAAACCGTTCTTTAACCGTTATAACCTTCCCCACAACTTATGTTTAATCAGTGAACTGCGATTATAAAATAGTCAGTGAGAAAAGCGAACGAAGCGTGCATTTATTTAAGTAAAAATTAGGTCATTAGGCGGAGCCCTAACAAAGCTAGGTAGAAAAAATGGGTTTTTGCCCCTTTTTTCGCGCCCCTTTGGCAATTAGTGCTATTTGATGTGAAATTAATGAAAACCGTGCCAGGGGAGAGAATTCAAGTCCAGCAGTGAACGCCATAAAACACCAAAAGAATAAAACTGCTTCCACCTATATGTATGAAGCAATTATTAAAGTAGCTATTAAACAGGTGTAAAAATCAACGTGTCTCTGCTGCAGTAATGCGGAATTTTCATAAAACAAATCGTTTTAAAACGGCTAATTTATAACTTTTGCCAAGTTGTTAATTTCTTTAACTGAACGCACCTTAAGAAGAGAACAATGGCCGGGATGTAGTCATTTCTTGCTTGGCAATTATCACAGGAAGGCATTGTGGCACGCGATTTTTCAGGAATATTCATAAGGGAAGAGAACGGTTTATAAATGGCATGGGCGTTATTAATTGTAGCAAAAACGGAAATTAAAAGTGTGCTTTGTTTCTCCCACAGGACGGCTCGATAGAATTTGAGGAATTCATCAGGGCCCTTTCAGTGACGTCGCGAGGAAACCTGGACGAAAAGCTGCATTGTAAGTATTCAGCCTTAATTTCTACGCCCTAATTAAACACAATGCCCAAAACCATCCATCACTCATTATCGCAATCCCTTCTGGGTCAACAGCAGGCAAAGCACTTGTACTTGTGTATATTAGAAAACTCATATCCGGCATTCGTCTGAACTCGGCCCAACGTACTCTACACTGACCGGATTTGCTATAGGAAAGTGCTTTCCACAAAGTTTATAGAGAAAATACGCCCACGATCGCTATTTAATGCAACAGAGAATCAATGGGCGACTGGAAGGAAAAGCAATGAAAGAGACTTTTTATGTGTAGTTGTTAAGCGGGGAACTACCATTTAGATGCGAGTATTGTTCATTTGTTCTACATAGTTTCGACTAGCTTTAAATGCAAAAGAGTACACTTTAACTGGCTTGACTAAGGTTTTAAAGTTAATTGATTTGGCGCCTACAAAGTGTTTCACTATTAATTGCCAACCGCTTTAAGCTCACGTTGAGATAAGTGAATCGTATGGCCAGTTTTACATTGTCTTTAAAACTGCATTTCTAAGTGCGTGTTTCGAGCATTTCTTGCTTGCCTCTTATGATATGGTTTGCTTGACGTAGCAACCACCTGTAAAGATGCAAGCCATTGGCGCTTGTGTAATGCCAGAAGAATGTATTTTCCACTACAGTTTTAAACCACATTGGTTAAAAACTCTAAAGCTGCCCCAAAAAAGTCGACCTACAAAAACTCGTTTACAAAACTACAACAAAGTTTTTTCTTATCGCATGATAAAGTATAAAAAACAAACAAAACAGTATTTATTTCGATAGGTAAAACAAAAGGTTGAAGACCTACAAGATTATTCTCAAGCAGTGATAGTGAAATCTTGCGAAGAACATGTTGCTGTTTAACTTCAGCTGATGACATCGAGTTTACCTTTTGATTAGATTAGAAGATGCGATTATTTTGTTAATTTTATAATTTCTTTTTCTGGGTATTCCAATAGGTTAACTGCGGGTAAAACTTAACTGCGGGTAAAGTTCGGTGGGAATCAGCTAATTTTTATGACTAACGTTTTTCAGCGTAATTCTGTGAGACCGACGCCTTACTCAGGCCTAGTGAATACTAGTTAAAAGCCCGTAAAAGTGCTTTTGAAACTCATTTTGCTGTCTTAGTTCGCCAGGGTTCAACTAGCTTGTACACATTAGTGCTCATACTTTTTGGATAGCTTGTAGCTTCAGTTAAAAAAAGATCCTCTTGAAATGAACCGTTTCTTAGGAAGAGCTTACTTTTTAATTATTTTTTTATTGAAGTGAATTAGTAGGATTTAATCGCTTAATTAAAAAATGTATAAATTGGTTCAACAAAGGCTTCCTTGAGGTCTGATACATTCTCACGCACGAAGGTGAATTAGGGAATCGGGGATTTTTGAACCCACCTCAAAATCCCATCATAGTTCCTTACTTTTTGATCCAAATGAAACATTGCTTTTTGCAACCATTCCTCTCTAGTTTTAGCGGGAGTGGAATAATGCAAGTTTTTCAGGTGATCTTCAGGGACAAAAATCTGATGAATTTAAGTCAGGATAACGGGGGGGCCAAGCCTCAGGTCGATCCGAATTTCGGAAAAACATTGCGCAAAATATCATGCACTGTCTGCAAGAAGTAGTAGTGCAATAGCTGTTCTTGAAGTAGTTGAATAATTGTGCTTTTGGACTCATGTAACGGTGCTGCCAGTTTTCTAACACCTGCTGAAGGATTCTCTTCTGCAACTACTACTACTCCGTACCGCTACAGCCCCTAATGGGCAGGCTCAGGCAACCATCTGCTTCCGTCTCGGTCTTCTATAACTTCTAGACCATTCTCGATGCCCATTTTCCGGAGGCCCGATGCTATATTATCATACCACCTTAATATCGGTCTTCCAAGTGATCGTTTTTCTTCTGCTGCTCTGTCCCATATTAAGCGGATTATTCTATCCTCTGGCCATCCTCGTCTTCGTACATGTCCTGCCCATCTGAACCTCTGTGCCTTTATGAGGTTAATCAGCTCTGGCTGCTTGTATATTTGTTTTAGTTCTGCATTTGTTTTGATTGAGTAAAACGCCCATTTTTATGGCAACTTTTCCGATTCGGCAACAATCAGGGATTAAAGCAATTTGGGCGAAATTTTCCGTATTTTGAGCCGCAAAGGTTTTCTATGTTCAAAGACAGTTTCAAAGACAGTTCAAAGTCGGCTTGCCCTAGACTAGAAGTGGGGAGTTTTTGAAGCAAAGAGTGCTTTTGGGCGAAAACGCCTTTTTTATGCCAAATTTTCTGAATCGGCAAAAATCAGGGATCAAGGCGATTTGGCCAAAATTTTCAGCATTTTGAGCTGCAACTGTATGCTACAGACTACGAAAGTTTCAATTGTCTGCTTGTTCTAGATTGGAAGTTGGTATTTTTTGAAGCAAAGAGTGCTTTTGGTTAAAAACGCCCGTTTTTATGCCAATTTTTCCAAGTCGGCAAAAATCAGGGATTAAGGCCATTTGGGAAAAATTTTCAGCAATTTTGAGCTGGAGCTCTGTGCTAGAGACTGGAAAAGTTTCAATGGTCTCCTGGCTCCACATTGGAAGTTGGGATTTTTTGAAGCGAAGAGTGCTTTTGGGCGAAAACGCCCATTTTTATGCCAATTTTTCCGAGTCGGCAAACATCAGGGATTAAGGCGATTTGAGCAAAATGTTTCGTGTTTCAGCCTCAACGGTCTGCTATTCTATGGTCTAAGAGAGTTTCAAGTGTCTGCTTGCTCTATATTGGAAGTCGGATTTTTTTAAAGCAAAGAGTGTTTTTGGAGAAAACTTCCATTTTTACGCCAACTTTACCCAGTCGGAAAAAGTCTGCGATTATGGCAATTTGTGCAAAATTTTCTGCATTTTGAGCTGCGACTCTGTGCTACGGACTGAGAAGTTTCAAGAAGAGAGTTTCAAGTGTCTGCTTGTTCTACGTAGGAAGTTGCGATTTTTTGAAGTAAAGAGTGCTTTTCGGCGAAAATGGCCATTTTTATGTAAACTTTTTGGTCTTTTGGGAGATACATCATATACTCTTAGTCGCCGGTACTATTAAACTAATATTTTCGTATTGCTCTTCTTCCAGAATCGATGACACTTTCAAGTTTAAAAAGTCTAGTAAAGTGAATTTTGGCTCAAGTAAAAGTTTTTCAAGTTTTTTCAATAAAGCCAAACATCCTATATTTCCGCGAGGTAAAAAATATGCCTACTCAAAAGGATAATGTGAAGACACAAGGCAATTTATTAGTAATTCTTAATAAGAACGCGGAAATAAATATTGAGACGTTTTTTCCTCGGACGTTTTTAATCAAAATCCGGTAATCCATTGAGACATTTCGTTCTGATAACGAGGAAAACAAAGCGGCCGTATTTCATCGCGAGTCGACGCAATTATTTTGTCATCTATATATCAACAGCTTGAGTTCACTCTGGTGCTCTTTTGCAAAAACCGGGTCCATTTTAACGCCCACAAGAGACTATTAGTGAAAAATGACCTGTAGGGTTCGTCCCATCCGAAATGGGTCACAGTTGACTGAACTATTAATATTTAATGCGACTGTTTCACTTGGAAGCCATCAAGGGGGTTTCACGGAGAAAAAGGGTTTGTAGGATGAAATTGTCAGTTTTATCAGAATCAGGCGTAAATGGGGTAAATTCAAATTATTACCTCCGGTAAAGTAACGGTTTCGCTCAGTGGTGATGGTAACTAATAATTGATAATATGTAGATATACATAAAAATATTGTGTAAAGAGCATTTACTGATTGGAACTTGAGAAAAGTGAATTTTTTAACCTTTTCTGGCCTTGATGAATTGTGTATTTTTCCACCATTATCAGTTTTTACGTGTAGCGTTGTTGCTGCTTTAAGCCTTGGCATACATTAAGAAATGCTTTGAAAATGAAAAAGCTTTTAAATTTGCAACCCTTGTATCAATATTAACATATGAAATATGTATGGATATTTAAAAAAATAAATCTTCTTTTATTCTACATGAAGCTATTTACACTTTTAGCAACAGATATGAAGTTAATTTCAGGTTGCCTTTCAATAGATTAGACTGTGGTAAGAAGTCTCCACCAAATTTCTGTTTAAAATTCTTTAAAAATCTTCAACATCATTTAAGAGAGAGTGATTGCTTCATTAATTTTAAGAAATCACTTGACATGTTCCTACTGGATACTGGATGGATGTTTTTACTCTTGGAGTTACTTAACGGGCGGGCGGTAAGGTAGCTGAAGTATAATTTAATACTAATAGTCATTGGCGTAATTCGGGGGTGGCAAGGGGTGGCAGCTGCCACCCCAGAATTGTCAAGACCAACCATTTGCCACCCTAGAATTTTGAAGTAAAAGTATCAGTAATTAACAAATACCTAAAAAATAACTGAAAGAACTGCTTTTGTTAGTGTTTTTTTCTTCAGGCTGAAGATAAAAAAGCGCAAATTTCGTTACGTAACCTTTCCTACTTTCCGTAACCGAGCCGTTACAGGCCGAGCAAGCGAAAAGAAACGGTTAGAAAATGAGCATACACCAGAACATGATGTAGTAGATGTGTTGGGCTCGTCATTCGCTCAGCCAGCCACAACTACTCCTACTAGACTCCTGCAGAGGAAGTACAGAGGCCCAGCTGTTCCTCTAGTTCTATTATTGCTGCCGTATTTCTGATATGTTGTTTCTGAACAGTTTTGCTGTCCTGCTGGTTTGAAAATGTCCTCCTTCGTGAATAAGTTTTAGTCGACGCCGCCTGCACGCCAATGATTTGTCTCTCTTGGTGTTGAAACATTTCTTGCACGTATTCTCTCCATCTATTCATTTGTTGATCTTCTATGCTCAGCAAGGGTCTCAAATGTTTACTTACAGCAAAGGGCGAAAAGGCTTGTTTCCATATTCCAACTGCTTCTTTGACTTCCTTATGTAAATTGAAGGAATCGTGCCTTTGTTCCATGTTCATCAATTTCTAAGCATATTTTGTTTTGCC